CAGTCAAGCGAATGGCTTAAAATTCATGAATCATACGCAGCTCTTAGATGAGCGGACCTCAAAGTTTGTTAAATTTTAGACTGCTAAAAAAAAATAGAATATGTAAGATTTATTGTGAATTAATTATGGCCTCCGAGAGGGTTTATGAACGCCTAGATTTTTACAAAATAAAACAAACTTGGAAAAAAACAAGCCACCGAGAAAAAATATTAAAACAATTTTAGGCGTAAATTTGTAAAGGTGTCCGAGTACAAACTCGGATCCATTTATGCATATATTATTTACTTACACTTTAAAAGTCGTCGTCGCATCCAGCGTTTTAGCAATGGATGAATAGATGGATGGTAGCTATTCCTTTAAAATCGGACGGTGACTTGTGCCACCTAGCCAACTAGTGTTCTTAGGTCAACTTTGAATTTTGACTACGTGAATTTATTCCACTTTAATCTATCCGTCCTTTAATTTTCGCCACCATTACTCTAATTTTCTTTTACTGATATGTTTACCTCTTGAAGACGGTTTGTTTCACCGTTCTCCTCGAATCCCAGAGCTCCCAGGAAGTCAGCCTCTCAGCTTGATGTCTGTCTTTGGGTGGCCGAGCCCCCAACATTCCATAATGATATGCTCTGGCGTTTCGACAGCCTCCCCACGTACCGTGCATATATCGTATCCGCCTCCTGAAATTTGGCCCTTTACAGTCCTGGTTCTCAAAAAGTCCGTCTTAGCCGCAAACAATAACGCACTACCTCTAGAATTATCGAATATTCCTTCCTTTCTAATATCAGTTTTTCTTGCCCTGTGCATTTCTAAAGCTGGCTTCTTCTGCATTCTTGTCTCCCACCATTTCTTTCTCCCTCTCCCTTACAATATTCTTCCTGTCCGCCCATCTTCCTCGGTGTTACACCAGTACCTTGACCCGAGTCGTCGGGTTTGTTTTCTCTATCTTGTGTCCATGCTGCTCACATATATATAGGTACCTAAATACACCTGTCCGTCTCTCCTGATCCATTTCCCGCAGCTGTTTCTCAAATTCCAGTTTGCTCTTTGTCTCCCTTGCCTCGAACGACGACCGACCCATTTCTCCCTGTACACCTTCATTAGGGGGTTTCGTATGGGCTCACAGTGCCAACCTGCCTATGCCATGCTGCTTGATCCTCCAGTCTTGACTTCACCTCCGGCGTCATGTACAAGACAGCATTTCCAAATGTTAAACCAGGCACCATAGCCTCCCAGATACCGCTCGCTATTTCGTATCGGTTAAAATTCCATAATTCTCGTTTCTTCATTACTGATGCATTCCTGCTGTCTTTAGTTGTCAAATAGTATTCATGTTTTAGGGGGTACTGTGTGCCCTCGATCAACCACACTCCCAAATACTTGCATTGCTCTACGCTCAGGACTTTAAATCGTTGTATAGATAATGGGTTGTCCTGCCTGTCGTTAAAAAAAAAAAAAAAAAAAACGAAAGACGTTTACAATTCTCTGTAATGCCGAATTAGAGCGCAGCTCTTGAGGAAGAGGAGGGGAGGGTATACCCCTCCGTACCGTCTCCTCCTCCTTTCCTGCTCGCCTCAATTTAGCGGAAAAGTTTCCCTAAATTTAGAGAAAATTTCCTCGCCAAATTTAGCGGGAAATTTACCAACATATTCCCGCTAAATGTAGCGGGAAATTTAGCGAAAAGTTCCCCGTTAAATTTAGCGGGAAAACTGAATTGGTGTTGAGGTCACGCGACATCAATTTCCCCGCTAAATTTAGCGGGGAAATTTTACCCTCGTGACGTGACGTCATTATGGGAATGGTCCCATAATGCAGCAGGGTTACGCCGACGCCTCTCAACCCGGAAACGGGTGCCTAAGAGCTTTCCTGTCCACGTATTGTAATCAGTTGGTGCATATATCTACTGCTGTCCCCCATCAAAACGATGTCATTGGCATACATTAATCCCGGAATCTCATCTGTTTAAACTCTTTCTCCCTGCCTGAGGTAGGAAAGATCAAACCCAATGCCGCTCTTCTGTAGCCTGCGTTCTAATCCATGCAAATATGCCATAAACAATGATGGTGACCACGGGCGCCCTTGTCTAAGACCCCTGTCTACGGCTATCGGTGGTATCTGTTCGCTTTTCGATGTTATTGTCACAGCTGATTATCCCTGTGGATATCTCTTAACAAACTGATCCGTTTCCAGCCCAGCTTCTCAGAAAATATTCCACTACTTATTGTGGTCTACACTCTCATAAGCTCCCTTGATACATTAGAAACGTTAGCCAGATTGTTCGACTTTCCTTTTCTGCAATTTCGATGCACAGCGGCATTATCTTCTAATCTTCTCAGCGTTCTAAACAGGTTTTGTAGTTTCCCTAGTATTTCTTTACATAAACCTTTGACTATAGTACTGCTGTGCACTGGTCTCATGGTGATCATTTGGTTTTGTTTTTCTCAACATAAAAACGACTTTATATAGAGAAAAAAAAAAAAAAAGATAAATTATCCAAGCACCAAGGAGTAAGCTACGAGTGTAGTTACACGCGCTGCACATGCTAGCGTCTGCTCCACTATTAGGGAGCTTCAGAATAGGGGCCGGGACTCTCAAGCTGTTTGGAGTACACAAAGCCTTGGGGCACTTTATTCTAAAACCCTCTATTAACTGTTCAAAAGCAAGACTCTAAAACAAATGGCATTTTGAACGTGCGACCTTATTTCAACACCTTATTTGGGTAATTTACTTCGGGGCTTGCACGTACAAAGAGAAGGCGAGTGCATGCACAGTGGATATCTATACGTTCCCAACATTCATACTGGTACCTAGTTGGAAAAAACAACCGCATCTCCACGCGGTGAATGATGTTGATTGGGGCGGAACTCTGGTGGTGCTTCTCTGCGTAGACGCAGTATGCCCGGGCGGAACTCTGGTGGTGCTTCTCTGCGTAGACGCAGTATGCCCAGCAGAACGCCCCGAAAATTCAGTCAAATATTGATCAAAGAAAATTGCAAGTTCATTGTTAATCTGATCAAAATTCGCTTTCATATAATTTCGTATTTGTTTTGGTTGAAAAGTGAGCCTCTACACGGGCGCCTTTAAAAAATAAATGCAGTACAGCATGATCACTGATCGCTGGATATGGAACATGCATGTTAAGGGTGATTTGACAAAGCGAGGTCTAAAACACTTGCTGTCGGTGGTGTCCGTCTGGTGGGACGAAGAACCAATTGCGAAAAGTTGAAATCTAAACATATAAGCCAACAAATGCATTACTTTCTGCAGAGTTCGCATTTATACAATGAGTGCCACTTGACCATGATATAGCGGGAAAGTTAAAATCGCCGAGAAGAAAGACTGGCACGCGGCGAAAGCGCAGAATCGAGTGGCCGTGGCAGCACTATGTCGTTTATTTCGTTATGCAAAGTTTCAACAAATGATAATGAGTAGGACGGTCGCCTGCAGCATACACCTATGATCTATTTCTTGTGACTAAGTTCGCAGTGATTCACCGAACACATACAGATACAAACGCACGCGCGTGCACGTGCGCACGCAAATACTTTCTGGTGTCAGAGGTTTTGAGCAAAACTTCAGCATTCACAACAAAAGAAACAACAACAACAACAAAATAAGAAAATCCTTGCAAAAACCAAATACTTGTTCTAAAAAAAAAATATTACAATGCTTTTTTTTTCTTTGATGAAAGAGTTATTGAAAAGGATGGTATATCGGTTTATTCGAATGTTACGTGGCTCGAAAATTTTCTAAAGAATGCAACTCTGCAGGAAAAAAAAAAAAAAAAACAGGAAAAAAAAACGTAAGCCGCGGTACAAGAATTCACGTGAAGTACACACAAAAAGAAGGAAGAAAAAATATTAGTACAGTTTTCACGTCTTTCCTTCATTTCCTCGACACGCATTAGAGAGATGATAAAAGTCCACGTGGCAGTTCAACGCGGCCCAATATTGATCGCGCCGTACCGTATACCTCGCCGCGGCATGCGCTTGACCTACTTTCCGTTCCTCATCTTTTAATATTAATTTCCGCAGCCCCGTTGGCCCTTGCGGAGATGCGCGGTGCACACTGGTCAGATGGACACAATATACGACCAGCTTTGCGCATGGCCCCAGAAGCATTTCACCACGAGCGCTACATGACATTCGGACATTCTTTCCAAGCTTGCCGTCTTTTCATGTCGGCATTGGCCGTTCGAATATTCGGCTTCCGTGCGCCGCCATCTTTGTCTAGTTTCGAACATGCGCAGTAGGATATCTTCCGCGGAAACTGAGACGCCGTCACGCCATGCGTCCCCACAGCTAGCCCAGTGACGAGGCATTCTTCGAAGCATGAAATGCTTTTTTGTTTCCCCAATCCCAAAATGTTGTCAGTCCGTCCGTGCATTGCCCGCTAAATTTAGCGGGAAAACTGACCTCACGCGACCTTTGTCCCGAGTCAGTTTCCCCGTTATAATTAGGGGGCAGATTAATGAAAATATGTAGGTCCTTCACTCCCCAAAACGACTGTTTAACGCCTTCTAAACAAATTTAAACGATCGCTCCTCAAATACTGCATTTTGTGCGTTATAATAAAACATTAAAAATAAAAATCGTTGTCATTTTCTTTTCTGCATGTGGTAATAATTGCCGGAAGGGTGTATAAAATATAGATACTCCCTAAAAATAGAAACTCCCTAAAAAAATAAAACTTACGCAAGGCGAGGAGCTAACCGACAATACCCTTGTTCGTCACAGGAAGCGATAATGACAGTGTTCAGCTTTTATTTCATCTTACACCATAGAGTGCATCAATTGCTGTTTTCTCTTTTTATTTTTACATTCATTGTAGGCCTGGTAAATGGTATTGTTTTTGTTGTTTTGTCAAGTCACAGCTCCTACTTGGGGTGAGCAACATTCCTAAATAAATTAAAAAGAAAAAAAGTAACTCTGCAAGCCGCAGATATAAGCTTTGGCGCAGTTAACCTTTATAGAGGGAGTGTATTTCTTTCATCCGGACACCATATTCTTCGGAAACAAGCTCGCGAATGACAGCTCTGTACCGAACGCAGCTTATCGCCACCCCCGGAGAGGTCAATGCATCTAATCCGTCAGAAGCGCGTGATTAGGACGTCACCTTGCGGCGGTCGATGGCCATCAGTACCGAAGCGCCAGAGAACATTGTGTCAAAGTGTATTCGGCAGCCGTCATCGGGTCAGGCCCGACGAACGCGTATTTTTGGGCTTCGTTAATCGAGTTCTGTATGCCCCAGCAGATCGATCGCGTGAAGCCCGGGAAGCGAGCGCGGCTCCGGAGGGGAACGGGCGTTTGACCTTGCAGCCCGCCGAAGGTAACTCGGCTCTCTCCGAAAAAAAAAAGCCCAACATTTTTTTCGGCGGTAGGATTTGTGCAGGCCGAAAAAGCGTATACTGCGGAGCCGACACTAGGCAGCGCGGTGGGGGGAACGGCGAGTTAAGTGCGAGTGCGTCATCTCGGGAAAGAATAGGCAGCGGATGGAACAAATAAATACAAAACAAAAACCAAAGAACAGGTCTGGAAAGCATGACGCGTTTGCTCGCTCGCTCGCTCGCGCGGTGACTTTCAAGCTCGCGCCAACTACGTGGAAGAGGTAGCGCCGGCTCGGTTCGAACGTTCAGCGGACCCGCCGTGAGGGTAGCTAAAACCCTGGAAGGCGATTCGAAGCTCGACGGATGCCGGAAGGGAGAAAACCGACCCCGCGCAGAAGAAGCGTTCTTCGGCGGCAGCGAACCGCCAAGCCCAGAGCCAAGCCTGCCAAGCCGCGCTGGCCGCGCGCCATTCGGAAACTAGCGCCCTCTCGGGCGAGAACGGCGAAGCAGCCATTGTGATATCGCCAAAAGGCGGTAAGTGTATCACCGCGTACATTGTTTGCGAGGGCCGCTCGGCTTTTTCTTTATTTTGTGGTCGGGTCGAGTCGCGGACTCGTCGCCGCGTGCACCCCGGATGACCATGGGCCCGCATTTCGACACCGCGTTCAAGCTGAAAGTGGTCTCCTACTACAACCAAGTCCGCAACAAATACCGAGCGGGCCAAATGTTCGGCGTGAGCGAGTGTTCGGTTCGCCAATGGATTAAGAAAGAGCCGCAGCTTCGCGCCACGGGACCTTCGCCCAAGCGACTTGTCGGCGGCGTCCGGCAAGGCGCCGGTGCCCTTTCGCTGCTCGAGAACGGCCTCAAAAGGTTCGTGGAGCGCTGTCACCGACGCGGCGCCCGAGCCAGGTACCCCGACCTGGTGGCGTACGCGACGCAGCTCAAGAAGGTGCTCAAGGTGCGTGGCGTCCAGATCTCTCTCGACTGGGTCTGCGATTTCGTTCGGCGGGAGCGACTCGTCACCAGATGCCAGAAACTGAAAAGCGCGCCCGACCACTCGACGCCCAAAAAGAAAAAAGCGGCTGTGAAGGCTGCGGCGCAAAAGAAGGGGACGCCGCCGCCGCCGCGAGGAGGGGTGAAAGGGTTGTCGCGGGCGCAGAACTCGGTCAAATCGGCGGCCGCCAAGTTTCTCGAAAGGGCCAAAAAGCTACAGGCTAAGAAGAAAACGTCAGCGGCCGAAGCCAAGGTCGCACAGAAAAGGAAGGTCGCGGTAAAAGTGAAGGGCAAGGTCTCGAAAAAGCTGGATCGGAAACCAGGAAATGGAGCTCCGAGGACATCGCCGCCGCAGCAACGCTCACGGGATTCGTCGGGTCCCAAGAAAGGAGCGGCCGCCAAAAAGGCGCCGACTGTCAAGAGGGCCCAACCTACCAAGCAAACACCCACCACCAAGAAAACAGCAGCCACCAAAATGACCGCTAAAAAGGCACTGACCACCACTAAAAAGGCAATGACCACCACTAAAAAGGCACTGGCCACTAAGAAGGTGCTGGTGGCTAAGAAGGCACTGACCACTAAAAAAGTGCTCACTGCTAAAAAGACGCTGACCACTAAAAAAGTGCTCACTCCTAAAAAGACGCCGACCACTAAAAAGGTGCTGGCTGCTAAGAAAACACTGACAACTAAAAAGGTGCTGGCTGCTAAAAAGGCACTGGCCACTAAAAAGGTATTGGCTGCCAAAAAGGTTCTGGTTACAAAGAAGGCACCCAAAATATCAGTGAAATCTACAAAGCATATGTTGGGATCTACTAAAAAAGTGGCACATGTGGGAAGGCAGACACCCAAGCAATCTCCAAAACTGGTCAGCAAGCCCAGTCACAAGCCGAAAAGTGACACTTTGAAAAGTGTGGCAAAGAAAGACAAGCACGACACTAAGAAACGGTCGAAGTCGATCAAAGCCCCGCAGCATTTGCTGAAAGCCGTGAACAGGACACAAAAACAGGTGAAACAAATAGTAAACCGTGCCAAAAAGTCTGTACACGAGACGAAAGCCAAAGTTGCTATCGGCAGGATGAGGGGCAAGCCACCGCTGAAGCGCCTGAAGCCTAGGAAATCCCCCACAAAGGTGTTCCGCACTCGGTACAGGATCAAGGAAATGCACCGCAGAATCGAGGAGAACAGGGCGTCAGACTTCTTTGACTTCTTCTATGGACTAGGCCTGATTCCGGTCAACAGGAGTCGTGATGACTCTCTCTGCATCCCCCTGATGTCCGGAACACCAAGATACTATGACAACCCTGGCTTCGTGTGTGACATTAGCAGCTCTCCCGTGAAACCCAGTGCGACAATTAGCAGCGTGAACCTTCCTTACAAGCCCTCAACAGACATCAGATACCCTATCTCAGCACCCATGTCTAAGAGTGCTGATCTGCAAGGCTCCACCAGTCCATCCAGGGGTACCAGATCACGCAAGCATGAGAACCACATTATTAGAGACTACTCCCCGTACGACAAGTTCTGCCGATCTACACTAACAGAGGACAAGCCTGGAAACTTCTTCGAGAAGCTCCACCATGCAAGCCTCCAATCTGAGAAAGCTCTATCGCCAGGAGAGTCTCCCATCACTCCCGAGCAGCTGGCCGTCGTCAAAAAGCTGTTCCCACCTTTCGGACATCTCAAATTTCCAAACCACTGCAGTGCCACGAGGCTTCTGAAAAGCCCTACTGCCACACACACCAAGTCCTTGCTGCCAAAGATGGATGCCGGCCGGCCAACGCTGAGGCCACGAACCTCGGAACAAATCGAGAGGCTTAGCAGGTGCGTCAAGAACCGCCTTTACAGGAAACGAAAGCGCAATCTCTCCGAGCCTTCGGAGAGCACGAGTAGTGCCGGTCCTTTTGCGAGTGATATTGACTGGCTGAGTGCCGACGGTTTCTCAAGTCCTGCCAAGATGTGCCCGAGCCCCCTCTACCACATCCAGGACGCTGGGCCTTGCTTCAGGAAAGAACACTTCGAGGAGAGTGTCGACATTGGACAAGACCTGCCGTCTGCTGTCAACCACCACCAGAGCAAAGCATCGCGGACACTGACGTCTGCTCTGGATGCTTGCTGTGGCAGTACTGGTGGAACAGTTGCACGGGATGAGTCCAGGCAGAACGTGAACACTAGAAGGTCCTGCTTCGTTCTGCCCGAAGTCACCAAAGTGTCGGCCAGGAGCCCAAATAAGAGGGAGAAGGACAAAGCGGATAACCCCTAGACTGTTGTGTGGGCCCTCGTGTGCTCCTGTTGTTACTACAGTGAAACCTGTGGTTTTACAACTGCTTGTTCTGTACAGTATACCAATTTTTAAAGAGTTGACAATGGCTTAATGCGGATGCACATCATACAGTACGAGGCCATCAGGAACATTCACCAAGATTTATCCCAAGTGTGTTCCTCGTGGAAAAGATACTATCTGCCAAGACCTGTGTTTTTGAGGCCAAAGCATAGCATTCTGTTTGGAAGGAGTGATCCATTATGCAAGCATTGGTTTAACCTCTCTGAGAACTTGGTAGAGGTCATGGCTTGTATGATCTGCAATGTAGCCCAGGTGTTACGAGTTTTACTGCTTGATTGTACTTTCAAATTTCCAATTCTACAATGGATTTGGGTTGGCTACTTGAGCTGCAAGGTGCTACACCCTTTATAGCTCTCGGTTACCTTGCCATGCTGTTTTGCCATAGACATGCCTTTATTCACTTAACGAGAAATGATGTATCTACTGTGTGTGCGGGTTTCTTGCCTTATAATTTATGTTGTATATTTGCCAGCACGTGTTAATTCAGATTCATTTTATCTTTTACTATTTTATTTGGGAGAGTGTTCTTATTGTACATGAAGTGAGGATCTTTGGAATCTAAAGCGTCCAAAGATGCCTATACTCTGTTTCACCGTAAAATAGACCGCAGCAGATGCTACGAGCCAATCAAATACTGGGAGTTAGCCACAAGGCTTGATAATTAGGTGCAGTGATGTATGTTATGTGAAGTCAAAGTACACTCTTGGCATTAATTGGCTCGTAGCATCCACTGGGGTTCATTTTGAGACAAAATGGAGTGTCGTGAAAGTTTTCCTATTTGAGGAAATTTGTGCGTGTCTTTTTTTCTAAATCTCTAGGAAATGCTCCTTTCTACGCCTTAATTCATAATAGTATCTCGTTGAAGCACCTTGTTCCTGATATGCATTTTACGGTGACATGGCTCAGGTGTCTGAAAGTTTTTTGTGGAAATCTGGGATATTTAATCTCTTTTGGGAGTCGTTTTACTTAAGAAGTTGTTCATGTATGCGGTACTTGCTATTTCAGAAAGCTCACCTCTTGCACACATTAAAAAAATTCTCATCAAGGATCTCCTATGTACCTTCTTTTCGGTCAGACTAGATCCTTCCCGAAACCAATTTTTTAACTTTGCTGCTTGCCGTTTAAACCTTTCTAAAAGGTGCCAAGCTTGTTAACGAGGTGACCTTCATATGAAAGAAACGACCCACGACCTACAATTGTTCTTGTTCGTAAAAGCAGCACATTCATTAATGTGGCATCTATCAAATGGAAAGCAATTTGCTTTTGACAAAGTTTTATTTCACTTGTAGTTTTAACAAGATGTAGGAAGAAACAAAATTTCCTATGAAGTGTGTAGTGTATTTTGACAAAATAACTGATAAATGAGCACAATCAGTAGCACTCTGACCAAAAGTCCAAACGCTTTTTAACACTCTTCGTGAGGTGAGAAGGGGTGTGGGGGGGGGGGGGGGGGGTTCTCCCGAAAGTAACAGGAATTTTAACTTTGAATCATGACGCAAGCTTACAATTTTCCGCGTTAGTATGCCAAGCACCTTACCCCAGCTGGACAAAATTATTTGTTGGACTGCTTTCTGTCCACGCGTACGGCTCGTACGGGTAGACAACAAACTCGCAGACTGCTGCTTGTACGGCGGGAGCAACATTCTGCGATTTTATTGCTGGCCACGAAGAGCAGAGTGCGTGTGAAATAGTGTTTACTTTTGAAGGAAACAGCAGCCATAATGGTTCATATGCTTCGACGGGATTTTAAGGGTGACGCTTTTAGGTGGTTTTCCCGTCTCAAGAAAGGCGATATGTCAGCTGAAGACCAGCCAGGTTCTAGGCGACCTTCGACAAGCAGGAATGATGCAAACATCGAGAGTTCTTCAGGCAATCGACGACGATCGTCAAAAGACCATCTAACGAGTTTCTAAAAACACGAGCTGGTCGTGGAGTTCATGCCAGCGGAGTTTAACGAATTACTTACAAATAAAGCACCACGATAACTTCCCTCGCTCGCCCCTCCCCCCTTTCCCCATGCCGGTAACCGGACAAAAGCTCACCCGTTTTTTTTCACAGACCCCGGCAAAAGCTCACCTCATTTCGTTTTGTTACACGGCAAAACAGACTGAAAAAAAAAAATGTGGACGCGATATACATTGCTGATAAGATGAAACTTGCTTTACTCAAGGTATGGCGGAGCACCCTTGTGCCACGCCCAAGAAACTTCGTGAACCGAAGTTTTTGAACCCAAAGAGTGACCGAAGAAGTATTTTTTATTGTGCTTATGTGACGCTAAACGCGCACATAAAGGTTAGGCACAATGTCCCTTCATTACTAATGCATGGGTTTTCTGCATGGGTTTTCTGCATGGGGTTTCTTGGGGTTCACCGTTCAGGGTAAGATTTAAAGTGAATGGCTAAGAAAATTAAATTGTTTCCGTCATCGTGCGTAGTAAATGTATTTGAAATGAAGGATTACCTGAAGCTGATGTGAAAGGGAAATTGAAGCAAAACTGTAATGTATAAACCATTGAGTTGCGAATTTTTAGAAATATTTTGAAGGAACGGGAGTTGGGGCTTTTCGAAAAGTACAAGACAGATGACCACCTTAGAAAGCTGTGCGGGATTTGGGATTGGCTGGCGTTCCTTCCACCACAGCTTGTTCCCGAAGGACTAACCATCAGAAAAAAGTTCACCGGTAACATCGGCTACCTGCTGGACTACTTTGATTGCACGTATGCCAACGGCCGCTTCTGTTATGCTTCTGTTCCTTCTGCGGCGGCACTCAGAGCGAATTCTTCCCTTCGCCTGACTGTGTGCCGACGACGACCGGAGTTTCCCCGGGACGGTGGAATATGTACGACGCCACTCTTCAAGATAAAGACCGGACGAACAACACCTGCGAAAGATGGAATACCGGGTTATAGAAGCTTGTCGGCCACGCCCATCCAAGCGTCTAGAGGCTGATTGAATGCCTACAGCAAAATCGGGCGCTCGTTGCCACGGCATTGACACAAGCCCGGAGAGGTGAGCCCCCTGTGAAGTGGGTGCGAAAATACCACTCTGCGCCTGCAGAGTCGTCTTAAAAATATTTGCGAGGGCTAACGAATACATACATCGAGATATACCAAGACTGCTGGGGTTCGTAGGGGCCTGCATTCGCTTCTAGCCAATTGATAAATTAACTTGTTTCTACCATAATCAACAAACCATGCGCCTGTCAGATTTAATTCATCGCTGCATTTTAGTGTCGCATGCATGCACCTAGCTGTCCGCACTCGTGTTAAGACCAACATGAATTTTTCTCCTAGTGAGCTATTGTCCGGGTCTGTGAAAAAATGGGTGAGCTTTTGTCCGGTGAGCTTCTGTGCGGTGAGCTTTTGTCCGGGATTCCCCCATGCCCTCACGCACCATTGTCTTGCCTTGTGACTGGTTGCACATCTTCCCTACTCACCTATTATCAATCCTCGTGTAATTTTTTTTATTGCATATGAATGTTATGGAAGTGGAACGATTCGCTGGCGTAGACGACGTGCAAAAAGAGTCGCAGGAGGCCAGAAACAGTATTTCTGCTAAAGAGTTCAAAACCGTTTCAGCAACAGTAAAAAAAAAAAAAAAGTTTGGACAAGTGCGTTGCGGCACTTATGCGTTGCGTCACTCTGAAAAGAGATTAAAATATAACTAATCACGCATCAAACAACGTTTTTTTCTTGTTTCGTTTACTATTGGTTACATTTTCGCGTACCCAATGGTAAACGTGATGTAACATCAGCGGCCATTGTGGTGGATTTGCTGCCAGAGCACACACTTCGCATCACCGAACCCGTTTATCTCGGCAAGAACAGGTAAGAAGGGGCACCAGCACGCCGTGATGACATCACGCGCAAGCCATGTCGTTAAACGCCCGTAAAACAAAATTCTCCCGAAGATAATTCCTATTGACACGTAAAATAACTAACCAGATTCGAACACTCGGAAACAGCAACGCGTATGCTTGCTACTGTGCAATGTTCGCATGCGTACGTGATTTTTGCTTGTTTTGTCCGCTAAGGTAGCTGAGTACTTTATGTGGAAGAGAACCAGTCTACGCGATAAAACTTGGGTTTCGACGACAACAACATGCATCAGTAAAACGCGAAAAAAAACAATAAAACAAAAAAACGTCGTGTTTGCGATGGCTGTGTCACGAGTACCAGGCCGAGGCTGACGTGGACAATAAAACAGGCTGTACCTTCCAGCGATATCAAAAGACCCTGGGCGATATCATGCGCACACTGTGGCACACAACAAACTATCGTAGATCTTTCCGCGCCAACAAAGGCATACGACGGTTTCTATCGGACCGTCGGGTCTACGAGCGTTTTGAGGAGCGCGCTCTATTGGGGAATGGAGATCGAGGCCACGGGGCCGCCGTACAATCGATCGGCAGGGCGAGCGAAGCTTGCGAGGGTGCACCGAGCTCCAGTCGACCAGGGGCCCTGCAATCTCGTTTTGGGGAATGAGGCAGCAGCAGCAGCAGCTTGGGGAGGGCATAGGGCAACCTTCTGAACTCGAAAACCAACATGGTGGTTCCTCAGAGTTGACGACGTCGGCGTTGGCAAAATCGGGAGATTTTGTGTCGGAGGCTTCCGAAACCATATGTGAAAACGGATGCTCATGCCTCGTCGATATGGACGCCTCCGTTCCCCAGAAATAACCCTCCATAACGTGAGTCGTCCATATAGTAACAAATCAAAGTAAAACAAAAATAAAAAGAAACCACACAAATATTGTTTATCAAACGCAGGGAACAATCACGTTTTATGTAGCAGCAAAAAACACGCATATATTCCCAGATCGTTCCCAAAGTAGCCGTCTATATAGTCCAGACTGCGGGTTTCAATGTTAGCGGGGCAGGATGGCACGGCGACCCGTCGGTCGCAAAAATATTTCGTCCATATTGCGAAGTATTCATCCTAACGGGTGTCCGTATTAACCAGACACGGCTGTATAACGCCTGCGGTCATTGGAAACTAGATAACAGAAAGAATAAAACACGGAGAAGTCAAACCGTAAAAGCGTACATTGTACGCGTCTGTGTTTCGACCCTTCCGTGTTTCATTTTTTCCGTTTCCTATAGTGTACTTCACCAACACGCTAGTTTAGGAATATCAAGTCGTTAGGAAGCCCGCTCTAGAACGTTGGTGTTTCACCGAATTCAGCACGGGGCGCTTGAGGAACGATTAACCGGGGATAGTTCGAATCAAAATGAAGTGGCGGGCTATGGTTGATTACACACAATAAAAAAATGCGCAGAAATAAACGTCAGTTGTCAGTTACCGCTTGTCGTGTCTTCTACTAATTGTGTACTTTATCTGTATGTATTTTATCCCAGGAGATGGTTCAGCCTGGAGCACGGTTTGGAATAAGACGAAGCACGGTGCTTTTGCCAACAGCTTCTAAAAAAAATACAACAAAGGAGCATGTTAACTATATAATAATGATGTCTTTAAAGTTTTTTTTCGTTACAAAACAATTATAAGAGTATTAATGTGTAATGACATAATGTACTCCCTACCCCCCTCCACGTCTCCTGAAGAAGACGGTAGCATCAATAAATAAATAAAATAATCAAAAATAAATAAAGGAAAAAAAAATGCCACGCTAACCGTAGTAGAGATGGAGAATACACAGACAGAATAAAACAGGTAAATGACGAACACAGACACACACAGTTCTTTCAATGAGCAACGCGTTTTATTTTTTCTGCGTATTCTGTCGTTTTTTAACGCGCTCTGCTACGTGTGCTTAACCATAGTTATAAATAACTTTTTTTTGTATGTCTAAAACGATTAGAAGTGTGTTAACATGTAATTACAGAATGCACCTCCCTCCTACCACGTCTCCTGAACGAGACAGTAGTATCAATCAATAAAACAAATACCGTAACATCCCTAGAGATAGCCCCCCCTAAAATCGAGAGAAAATCGGGTGAAATTAAGGAGTGGGCTCGCTGTACAATCAAGAAACGTCGAAGAAAGAAAACGCTATTTTTAGATCCTATTTTCCTGCCAAACTTGTTATCGCGGCGGGGGACAATGAAGCAAGAATGACTAACTCCCAGTCAGCAATGTTCGCTTATATCCCTAGCTGCAGTTAAGTCGAGGTTCGAACACATTCAAACACTGCGATTAGAATGAGTGGGCTATCTTTCGGGCATACCTGGGTAGTAATTCAATTACAGTAGTTTACTCACTGTAATTTAATTACTTTTTTTGTAATCTGCAATTGTACGTAATTAGGCTAAAGAGAATTGTAAGTGTAATTTCATTACTTTCTAGCGTCAGTAATTGCAAAATTTCAGGCACAATTACAACTACTTTTGCAAGACTTTGCGGCATCTCTGAAAATCTGTGTCACCGAGTGTGTCACCGAGCGGCCTAGCGCTCGGTGACACACTCGCCACACACAGACACGCACTCACACACACGCATAACAAAAATACTAAATAGCGTCGCGTTGTTTGTTGTTTTGTTGCTTACACTGCGGGCTGAGAAACAATCCTCTTTGGAGCCTACCTCAAGGGCGCCGTGTGGCGCCGTCTGCAGTGCGAGCAGAAAGCAATAGCATAAACATACCAATATATTTAAAGAAACAGAACTGAGCTTCAGCTTTCAGCCGAGGTTGGGGATTTTCATTTTCTATAGAGTTAGTTTTTCTTTTTTTTTTTTTTTTTGCCAGTTTTTTACGTCCCCCTTCGAGTCCTGTCGAATATTTGTTTCTTTGTATTATTTTGAAGTTTATTTCCTGCTACGGATATTATTTGCATAAGCATTTTGGAGACTAGCCTCGCACCTGTGAATATTGTCACCATTGAATCGGGAGCCCCCATTCGGTTCTTATATATTTCTGAGTCGTTATAATTTCAACTCAATGTAAATAATATACAAAATCATGAAACGTTTCATTGTGATTGTGGTCGTATTAGCGCGTGTGGGATTGTAGTTTTATATTAACACTATTGAAATATTCAGATACGACTAATTGTCCCATTCTTACCTGCCCTGCCAACAAAAGCGAATCAACCGAATTTTACTTTAGCGATCTGGCGTCTTCGAGTATATGAACTAATTTATTATTATTCATAGAAAATAT